CCCACAGGCAGCCAGTCAACCCTACAGCTCCTCAGGCAAGCCTCTGGTCCATGCTCAGCATTAGGAGCAGCGAGGAAGGTCTACCCAGGTCATATTAGCTTATGATGCTAAGCTAATAAAACTAAGCCTGGATCAGGGATACTTCTTACATGAGGCAACTCTGTAGATAATGTGAGCATCTATAAAACCAAGGCTTTCTCAAAAGAAAACTCCACCTTTCTGTTTTCTAAAGTGTCTCCTGTGGCATTAGTGTAGGCAGCTAGAAAGACATCAAGAAGAAATTCAGGATGCAGGATAAGTGGCCTGCCCACTAAAAGGGTGGCAAGTGAAGAGACAATGGGAACCAAAAAAGAAAATGGGGTGGTATAAAATCACAAGTGGGGGTGCCACTCAATACAAAAGAGACCCTGAGAAGAATGACAGGCTCCAGCTGGGGACATGCAGGTTTGGTCTTAAAGCAAGATCATGTGCACAAAAATGGCCATGAAGGCAGCTTTGAATTCAAGGCCCATCAGAGCCACACTGTGAATTAATTCCAGGCCAGTCAGAGAGACATTGTGAGATCTTGTTTCAAAAGACAGAGAAGAGTTCCAGGAGCTGGGGGTGGGGGTGGGGGTGATGAGGAGTCAGTGTTTAATGAGAGAGAACATGGCTTCCATTTGGAAAGATGGGAAAAGGTCTGGAAGCAAATGGTGGCAACAGCTAGGGCACCGTGTGAATGTCTATAGGACCACTGAAACTCACTCCTGCAAATAGTTAAGATGTAAACCTGTTCTGCTGTAAGTGATGAAAACACAATTCATTTGACTAATTTTATAAATTAAACTCATCAATCAATAGTATACATATATTCTAAGAATGTGGCAGCAAGTGGGTGGGGAAGAAGACAGCTATGAGATGTAAAAGTCATGTCTTCAAGAGAAGCAAGAAGACTGAAAACATCATAGGAACATGGGAAGGGAGAGAGGCCCTTAGTCCTAGACCTGGTTCTCCTGTTCTGTGGACAGAGTTGGGAGACTTCAGGCACTGATCAATCCCAAATTGCCCACCAAGGTCATGGTCTCCTATAGATATCGAAGACAGAGATGTTGAGGTCAGTAAATAAAATGCCTTCTTGGGGCCAACAAGATGTACATTCTTGAGTTTTTGGTGTGCTTCTTCTATTCTAAATCGAAACAATACCCTCTTACGGCTTCACTGACAAAATGAAAACTCTTTAGCCTTTAAATCTTGTAAATTATATTCTGAGTCATGTAACTTAGAAAGCCACAGGATCACATACATGCCAGCTGTAAAGACCCCCTTGAGTGCATGTCCCCCTTGAGAAGCCCAGATGCACTTGGGGATGTTTTATTCTTTCCCTAGTCATCGTTCTGCTCACACACGTGCTGAAGAGCCAGGTTCTTTTAATAAGTGTGTCTGCTTATGGTGCATCCAAGAGTCCTGCCTGTGATGAAGCCAGAACCCTGCCCTTGTCTGAATGTGTTCCCTAAAGGGAAAGGGGAATGCCTCAACTATGGTGTCCTTTTTTTTAAAGCTCTCTAGCAGGCGCTGGAGAGATGGCCTGGAGGTTAAGAATACTGACTGCTCTTCCAGAGGACTCAGGTTCAATTCCCAGCACCACATGACAGCTTACAACTGTCTGTAACTCCAGTCCTAGGGGATCTGACACCCTCTTCTAGCCTCTGCAGGCACTGAATGAAATGTACTACACAGACACTGTGTACATGCACCAAACACTTCAATGGTATACAGACACATTTGCAGATAAAACACCCATATGCATAGAATACGGTACTTCATCAGTTTTAAAAATTCCTTGTGGATAAGTTTGACTTTGGTAAAGACATGTAAAGACGATTTCTGGTTTATGGTAATTTGACTTATGACTCTTCAACACTGATACAAAAGTAATGCACACTCACAAGAAATCATTTTAAATCTTGATATTTCCCCTGAAGGCTAGAAATATGCAGTATGGGACCCTCTTGGGATGCTGGGCAAGCAACAGCAAATCACATGATCAGAAAGATAGCAGAGGATATCCCTGGAGTGTACTGCTATTGAGCTGAGATGTCCAGTAGGTTAGGTGTAGGAAATGCATTGACCCCTACAGTATTTTCAATTTATGATGGATTTATCAGCACATGGCTCCACTGTAAGTCAAAGATCATCTGTATTTAAAAGGAGACGGTGACCAGGGACGGTGGCTCACACCTGTAGTCCCAGTGCTTGGAAAGCTGGGGGCAAGAGGGCTGCCATGAAGTCAAGGCCAGCCTAGATTATAGTAATGGGACAACATCTCCACAAACAAACAATGGAATATAGTAAGCATTGGTGGCAAAGTAGGAAACAGGACCCTCAAACATGCTGGTGGGAATCTGAAATTGTAAACCCACTTTGAAAACAGGCATGGCATCTTCTTACAGCATTAAACACACTTATTGTGTGACTCAGCAATCTCCCTGACATTCACCCCACACAAATGCAAACTCTGCCCATACAAAAGTGTGTGTGCAGATGCTCGTGGCTTTGGCAGCCATTTTCATAGTAGCCCTACACTAGAAACAGCAGGAATGTCCACTAACTGACTAAAGGACAGTATAACAATCCTCCCTTACCACCATCTCACTCTGAATAATAACCAATGTCAATCACAATTTGAAATGGTAAATGGAAAATTCAAGAGACAAAGAATTTTGGAGTCTGAAATTGCATAATTCTGAGTGACACAATGAAAGCTCATTCTGTCCCACTCCATCCCACCAGGGACATGAATCACCCCTTTGTCCAGTGTATCCAGGCTATCCCCCCTTCCTACCTGCAGCCACACACTCATCAGACGGACTATGGTGGTGTTACAGTGCATGTGTTGAAGGTATCATTATTTTGTTCAGTGGTCCCAATGCACAGCAACATTGATGCTGACAAATTTATCTTAGTGTCCTGATATTATACATAGTGTGTGTGTGTGTGTGGGGGGGTCTACTTCATTAACTGTGGTCATTTCCTTACTGTGCCTAATTTACATATTAAACTCTATTATAAATATCTGGTGAGGCATTGGTGGCGCATGCCTTTAGTCCCAGCACTCAGGAGGCAGAGGCAGGTGGATCTCTGTGAGTTCGAGACCAGCCTGGTCTACAAGAGCTAGTTCCAGGACAGCCTCCAAAGCCAGAGAAACCCTGTCTTGATAAAAGCCAAAATAATAAATAAATAAATAAATAAATAAATAAATATCTGTACATAGGAAACAACATAGTATGTATGGGGCTTGGTAGTATCAGGCATCCACTGGGGGTTCTGTAATATAGATTAGGGGACTACTATGTATTGTGTGCTTCCTATGTATTGTTATTCAGTCATAAAAAAGGAATGAAGCATCATTTACTACAACATGAATGACTCTTGATAATACTATGCCCCATGAATGAAATCACGACAAGAGACAACATGCCATATATCTAGTTAGGGTTTCTATTACTGGGACAAAACACCATGACCAAAAATTGAGTTGGGGAAGAAAGGGTTTATTTGGTTTACACATCCATATTGCTACTCACTTACTGAAGGGAATCAGGACAGGAACTCAAACAGGGCAGGAACCTGGAGGCTGCTTGCTGGCTAGCTCACATGGTTTGCTTGGCCTGCTTTCTTACAGAATGCAGGACCACCAGCCCAGAAATGACACCACCAACAATGGGCTGGGCCTTCCCTCTTCAATCACCAATTAAGGAATTGCCCTATAGGCTATTCTATAGAGGCATTTCTCATTAGAAGTTCCCTCCTTTGATGATGCTAGCTGGTGTTAAGCTGGCATAAAACCAGCCAGAAATTAATATAGTTCCATTTCTATGTAATATCCAAGAAAAGAAGACTCATAAATGAAAAGGAGATTCATAGTCACCGAGAGCTGGGGATAGGGAGGTAGTGAATGGATGTATTTTACTGACGACAGACATTTTCTAAAATTACAATGTGGTTGTATTGTGTGCTCAGGCTGCCATAATAGAAATGTATTTCCCCAAAGGAAGTCCAAGATTAGGGCACGAGCATGGATGGGTCCTGGTGAATTCCTTCTCTAACTTTCGGAGGACAACTTTTCACTGTGTGCTCAAATGCATGAGTGGCTGAGACTGACAACTGGCCAACATCTGGTTCAGAAAGTCAGAGATATTAACAGAGGATGCTATGTGAAAAAATGAGGCTGTATTTGACATTGCACAGCTCTCTCTGGGGTGGAGGGCAGGAGAGCTCCCTCCCCATGGGGCACCACGGATATAAGGTGCATTTCTGCCTGGGCAGGAATGTCTTCAATTTCATTATCACCAAAGTGAGGGTGGGGGGGGTGTTTACAGTACTCACAGCAACAGCAGCTGGATAAGTTTGCACCAGTAACCTTCAACTATGCAGGTCCTGTCCTCCCTAATGCTGGCACAACCACACCTGGCCAGGGCCTACTTTTCTTGGGGTTTTGCTATAAAACTGCCTTCAACCAAATGTTCCCCGATCTGCCATTGTAACGTCTGCTGATGACAGATGAGCAATGTCTTGCAAAGCCCACATGAAAACAGTGGCCACAGTAGTAATGACAGTCATCTGTCAGATGGGGACAATGAGACTGGGGGCGGGAGGCTTCCTGACCAAAGGCTGGTCCACCTTGCTAGAAGGCCGGCCTAACATAATGACCACCCACCCCCACACCCCAGCTCACTCTTTAGTGAGACTCTGTGTAGGAAACTTCTCCAAAGAGATATCCTGTCCACTGACTACAAAGGTGGACAGAAAAAAGTCATATGTGATTTTAAAGACTGTCAAAGCAAATTACAAATGCTCCGTTTGAAAGATGACAATGAAGACATTTTCAGTACTTCTTGTTTCTTCCAAGCCTCCATCTCTTTACCAAAGCCAGTTCTTTAAAAGCTATGAATCAAACAACAGTTCTGCAGACAAGGGGTGAGCTATTCCCAGAGAATAGTTATGGCATTTTTCCTCGTTACCTTGGTAACTGCTACCTTGGCGCCCTTGTTGATGAGCTGAACCACATTCTCTGTTTGGCCTTTGTACGCAGCTATGAGCAGGCGTTCTGAAAGCGCAGCGACCGCATCCTGCTGGCTCATGAATTAGGAGAGGAAGGGGTTCTCAAGAAAGCAGGAGGTCAGTTCCTTCAGCTCCACATGCAGCCTCTGGCTAGGGCTGGAGTCCACAGGGAAAGGTACTCAGAATCATGGGGATGCCTTTTTACTACTCCATCTTCAGGTCCTAGGGGGTCACAAAACAAAGCGGCCATTAGTGCCACTCAGCACACAAGGACAGACAGACCACACCTCTGCTGACCTCAGGGTATTCTTCTGGGTGCACAGCACAGGGGATGAAAACTAAGGAGACAGGACATCAAAAGCCAGCTTCCACAGCATTTCAGAGGGGAAGGCAGCAGAGTGTGCCAATCTCTCCACTTCCTCCTTCCTCAGGACCATTCTCCACAAGATGCGCAGAACTGGGAGGCTGCATTTTTACCCTGGGTAAAAAGGTGTGACACAACACAGGGGTGGAGGGAGGGGAGGTGGGGAGAATGATGTAACTATATTTTAATTAATTGTTTTTAACTTAAAAAAAGAGGCCTGATATGATTCCCTGAACACCTCCTGGTCATCTACATAACAACATGTATGGTGAGTGATCAACCTTAGCCCTGTGGGTCAGGTCCCTATGACTCCACCATGGCTAACACGCACTTGGCGACCCTGGTAGGCAGTGCATCTTTGAGGAGACCCACACACAGTGCACATGATTTTCTTCATCCTTTACTTTCTGAAAATAGTGCAGCCTTCTGGGTTCTGGAGCAGAGAACTCAGATGAGTTCTGAGCACAGGCCCCAGGCCACCTCCAGTCCTGAACTGATGAAGCACTCCACCTCGTGAAGAAAACCGTTCTTCACTCAGTGCAGCCAGCTCTAGTGCTGTCAGTTTAGGAACAACTCCTCCACAAACACCCCACACTCCCTTGCTAAATGGGAGGAAAATAAATGGCCACTAAACGACTTAGGACAAAAGCCTGACTGTGCACAGTGGTCTGTAGGCAGTAACTACAGTAAACTTGAGCTTGTCCTTTCATGAAAGGAACAAAATGAACAGAACTCTATAGAGTCCTCGCAAGTAGACCTGGGACTATCCTTAGAACAAACCAAGTCAGGGGTTTGTTCCATGTGTTCCATGATTCCAATTCTGAGGCAGGAGGAGGAAGACAGACACCTTTAGATTTTAAAATATGTTTATAATTGCCATGGAGATGGCGCAACAGGTATAGGCACTTGCTACAAAGCCTGAAGACCTGGGCTCAGTCCCCTGCACTTCCCCCCCACACACACACCATACACCACACACACCAAAAGGAAATGCTGCTTCGAAGAAGCACTCATCAGCTCAACATTCCATCATGGTTTGGTGTTCAAGAATCTACAGGCAGCTTTCATAGTTGCTTCCAGAAACTCGATGATCATTTTAATTTCAGGTCATGTGACCAACTACCCTGGGAGGCTGGGGTAGAGTCTCATATATAGAAGAGACACCAACCAACTCTACATCCACAGCAGCAGGGAGTGAAAATGCTATTTCATTATAAGAAATCTCGCCAGATGTAAACACTGTAATTTTAGAACGATAATTCTTACCTACCCCCAATCTCTTTATTATCACATTTCATATTGTTCTCCATCTGTTGCCCCGGATATAGGCAAAAGATAATAAGAGAGAGGAACCTGGCAAGCCCAGCCTGCTCTCACTCACCAGGTCACCGGAAATACAAGTCTGGAGAGGCTGATGCCATAAAGCACGATGCCCCAGCTAGTCAGCCCTGAGATGTGCATTTCCCTTCCTGTGCTGGGCATCGAGCCCAGGGCCTGTCACATGCCAGGCAAGTGTGCTATCACAAAGTTACATTCCCTGCCCAAGGAAAGAACAGAGTTAAGCCTCAAAGCAGTGAGAGGAACAGCTAGAAATGCCTTTGGAAGGGCCCAAAGCCACATGACTACATTTGGGGCTTTATCTCCTGCCACCTTACACACACACATACACACATACACACACACACACACACACACACACACACACACACACACACAGAGTTGTTTGAAGGAGGCTTGTCATTATCAACACAGGGTTTACTGTTTCTTCTTCTGCATGCAGGTGAGTTATGTTCCATTCACACACATTGATTTGTTTCTCTTTCAGCTCGAATACTGAAAAATCACTCTCTGCCAAATGAAGGGAAATGCATGGCATTAGCTACCAGTTCCCAAAAGATCTCCCTCCCACCTGCAAGTCCTTTCCCTTTGCACATCCTTCCCCTCATCTACTCATTTGCTATCTCTGTGTACCTGGCTTCATCTCCATTCCTTCCAGCACCTTTCTTGCAAAGGATATCTGAGTCATACACTTCATACACATTTTACCATCCATTGCTGAGTTCCACCAAGTCTACTCCAGCTTGCCTGAAAAGGTGAGGGTATTGGCTGTACTCTCACTGTCACTAGTCCATAGCCACAGTGATCCAACCCCCTTAGCAACAGACACAAGGTCCAACCAGCTTCTGCTAAATTGATTGCCACTTCTAACCCAGCCACCCGTCTCATGCAACAGATGACGCCCCTCAGACAATAAGACTAAAGTCAGAAGTGCTTGTGGTTACAGCTGCAGGCTGAGATAGCTTTGCTTAGATAATCACTGAACAAACAGCCCTCTCTAAGTCTAGCCACCAACACTATTTTGTTTTAAACATAAAAACACCCATTGGTGAGAAAATATTGGTCAACTGGCAATGCCATATTATTTTTTGCTTTTCTGTTGCAGCTACATACATCTTTACCACCTCCCCATGAAACCATCCACACACCTGCAAGACAGTGGTCATTCACGATGGATCTTGGGTACGCCCATCACCCCAGCATGCTGGCACAGAAAACTGCCTGCAAAATCAACAGCAGTAAAACCACTCCGGGTTATCAGTTCCTATCTGCAGCTAACACCATCCCCTCGCACTTGGACATTCTCAATTTCAGTGCAGGGATCATGTCACTGTGAGGACCTATACCAGCAGATGCTTTACACAAAGGGTGGTGCATGGGGATGAGAGATGCTGAGTCTGCTCTGCTTCCTGTTTCCCCTCACAACCTCACTCACTTGGAGTGAGAGGATGCTCTGCCCCCTGTCTGGGAACCAGCAAACTAAGCCAAATGGAGGCAGGCAGGGACAGGGAGGGATGGCGAACCCTGAGGGAGGGAGGAAATACAAGGGTGTGACCAGTGTGCAGGCCGAGTTAGCCTTCATTGCTAACCTGTTGGGTGCCCTGGCTGTCACAGCTTTGGCCTCTCATTAAATCCAAGCCTCCCCTTCCATTTGATAGTCATCATTCAAGATAGCCTTGCTGCTAGAAGTGAACAGTCGGTCTGCCTCACACCTGTCAATCACAGCCTGTGTCACAGTATTTATTTTCACGAGGCTCAGGAGGGAAAGGCTTAAAAGCAAACTTGCTGCCGCTTCTTTAGGCAGGAAGGAAGCACATGCACAGTCAGTACACACAGGGCACAGCACATGCAGGTGGGGCTGGACTCCAGAGACCCACTGTCTCCTCTCCTCCCAGCCCTACCCAGTCTGCATTCATTGTCCCTAGTCTGCGATGTCTTTTGTCTCTCATCACCATTCAGAGAATTCCACAGATGCTTCACCTGTGAGGCAATAGTTATTTGTTTTTCTGTTTTGCTTCATACAGCAAAGAGTCTATGAGGTTTGATTTTGCTGCTTTATTGCAGATTTACAACAACTCTCCCAGTGCTGGTCAACATCTGAAAGCCACCACATTTAGTCTCCTCCCAATGCACTATTCTAAACAAGCCCTTCAAAGAAAAGTCCTAGCCAGGCATTGTGCAGAGCCCACCAAGATTAGGCCACCAGAGCTCTGGTTAGCGAGCACACATAGTTGGAATAACTGGCATTTCCCACTGGGGGGATTACTCACACATGGGGCTGTCCTCCGTGTTCTTTCTGGAAATGCAGTCAATTCTCTCCTGGTGGGATCCTATGCTTCCCAGGGCGGCTGCTCCTGGAGGCTCAGTGATTTACCTACAGCGACTGTAAAGCCTTCCTCCTTAGCTTCTTCTGCCGCGATGCTAGCCGCACAACCAGCCTATTAAGGCATCCATTCAGCTCCAGATGCTGCTCTGTTGTCACTGTTCTGAGTGCTGGAGACTCAGATTTTGTGAGACTGCTCTCTCTACAAGCAGATGACCTGTAACCCTGCCCGGCAAGAGTCAGGGAGTGGTTCCCAGCTGAGGAGACTGCTTCAAGCAGATTCTCCCGATGATGGAGAGGCAAAGTTTGCAGCCTGGCTTGGGAGCACACAGAAGGGGTGAGAGGCCAGCCGACTGTCCTCACAGGAACAGCTGGGGGAATGCTGGCATCCTGCGCAGCGATCCAGACACAAGCTGTCTGAGCAGAGTCCCATACAGGGACTGCAGCATCAGCAGCGCAGACAGGGTCTGGCTGAGTGGCCACTGAGACGTCTGTAAATGCAATCTGCTCAGAAACTCCTCCACTGTGTGTGTGAGGGAGCAGAGTGGGGAGTGGAGGGCTGAGGTCCCTCGGAAGCAGATGGACACTTGCTGCCACTCTTCTAGGCATCACAGGTGTGCCTTCCTGCCCACTTCCTCAAGCCTTCCTCCTACTAGAGACATGGGAAGGCTTGGACACAACATGTGAAGATAGGATTGGTGGCTCTAGAGTGGGAGAATAGCTTGGTCAACAAACCTGACCACTATCCTGTCCCACACCTACCCCCAAACCCCCAAGGACAGCAGCTTCTGTGGCCACGACACTGGGATCCTACTTCTGCCTTTTGGCACAGAAAGGTGAGACTGTGGATTCTGGCCCATACTCTGCACAAATGTGGAAATATACCAGGGAAACAATTGCCAAGAGATGATAACACCTCCTTCCCCTTTCTTTTGTAAAATATATATATATTTCATCCTAGTTCATCCAAAACCAATCACTATTCTACTACTGCAATCACCACTGGGGGCTAAGTGGGATTACAACAAAGACGAACATGAATCCATCCCTACTTTGAAGAAACTATTACCTGGCCACATTAAGTCACAATAAAGACCCAAAAAGACCAGGTGCCAGAAACAAAGCATGGACTAATGCAAACAGTTTAAAGTTCATTGTCTGAAAGACAACTGTCCATGGCGGTTCTTCC